TTTCCATCATATCACTATTTAAAATACATTATTTCTTCGATAATATCCATCAAATATACCCTTAGGTTGTGTTTCTCCTATTTGCAACCCTTGTACACCTATAAATAAGACTCATTGGCGTTGTTTTTATTTACTCCTATCTTATACAATCATAACTTAACATATAATCATCATTTAGTTGTCGAAATTCTACATCAAAACTTTTGCTTTATTTTCATTAAAGAGGAGTACAACACAATTTTTTGGTTCCGTGTTCTTGTGTTTTGAAATGTTGCAAACACAAGACGTTGTTCGTTGTATTTTGAGAGTTGATTGTCTAATCCGTAAGCATCTATATCCGGCAAATTTGATTTAAGGATAAATAGTTCAACTTTTGCTTCGATCCTTTGCATTTCATTGTGCATTTATAGTAATGAGTATTTTATGCATTTTTTTAAATCTAGAAATTGACTTCCATTTACACATTTGATGCATACTTTCTGTGCAATTACAATGTTACAACACTGTTTCTAATATATCTAATCATTAAAAAGATTAAATATTACTTAGACATAATTCAGGTGCGAAGCAGATACTCCAACTAAAAAAAATGTTGTCTAATATATTGCTTATTGGACATTTACTAAAGCAAAGGAAAAGATGACTACTCAAGATAAAATATGCACAACGAAAATGGCTCCTACTTTGTGAATGCCCCTGCTTTGATTCAGACGACGTTCTTTAATCTTAACAAATTATTCTTAAGAATATTACTTAAATTCCAATTGTAAAATGCTGTTGAAGGGAAAATAACATGTGATGAATAAATTGTAGTTCTTGAACTGCCACATTTAAAAATTTAGATTTTACATGAGATGACATGATATTAAAGTAAAATTTTTTAGGTCAAGTCTATATATTACCGCCCATTAAGAATTAGTTGTTATACTTATCAGAGTTCTAGTGCCATTTAAGCTTCTACATGATATATGTTTGGCTTTAAGTTGTATTGACTATTTTTTAGACAAAAGGAATATTATAAAAGAGCTGTGAAAGTCAAGTAGTCATTTGGAATGTTGTATAGATGAATTAAGAGTTTTTAGGTTTGAGTATGGAACATAGAGAATATGTCGTTGGAATTATGCTAACCCGTAGTCAAGCTAATGCTCGAGCATCCAAAACAGAATCATTATCGCCCACATGTCCCTCGCCAGCGCCAGTCTGCCACTCGAGCGACGATATTTTTCGAGAAACCTAGTTCGTGATTTTCAAGAGTTATATTTATCCTATACTACCACAATGCCTCTATATTATAAATATCCAAGCCCCACTTTGTGAAAAAGTGTGGTGGATCATTATTTTCTACCTTCATAACATCTTTTGAGGATCACCCAACAATTCTACATTTTGAGATCAAACAACGATAAGTTGGAAAAAACATCAAAATCAAATAATCCAAAACATCACTTCCTAATTATAATCAGGAATGTACTTTTTCAATAGTTTTCAGAGATTGCTGAAAATTGAACTAAAAACACAAGAAGAATACAAGAACATGTGTTCTTGGTGATTCATAGGAATTAGATAATTTCAGAAGATCGGAGCAAGTGTGAGTGAATTACAATTCATCGGGTCTTCAAGATTGCAAGAATTAGATCAACGAATCTAGTGAGTTTCCAGGTTGGATCATATTGTAAGTTTTTATTATCTATAGTTGAATTACTGGCTTGATTCGGAAATTTTTAATCGTGTAAAGGATTTTCTTCATCAACAAATCTTGTGTTATTTCATACTTTATTTACTAATGTAGCAAATAAACATAGGAAAAAATTGACTTAATTGACTAAATATTTAGAATAATTAAAATGTGACTTGTTATTAATTGGTAATTTTAATTCCGCGTTATTCACATATTTACCTCCTCCAGGTGATTTTAGAGTCGAACTCGTAATTTACAATATATTTCAAGAATAATAATATTCAATTTTACTAGAGTTCATCATTTATGTAGAAATGGGATCATTGCCACATTTTTCAATGAAGCCATGGTGCAATTTTATTAGTTTTATAACTTGTCAAAAATTCCAATAAAGATAAATAACTTTAACATACATATTACATAGCATTATTCATATTCCAAATTGTTTATATACAAAGAATAATACTATTTGTAGTTGTTCATTATCGTGATCACCCTACGTTATGACGACTAAGGTAGTCATGTATTAATGATCCAATGTCGGAAGGGACGAAGCTACTTTATAGCAGTATTTATGGTAGAGTGGCACATGATATGCTACACTTTATTATGGAAAGTAGGTTGTAGATGCTAGCTAGGGAGTACCACATTCATATCTGATACATAATTTTGCTTCCCACTTTAATTTTCTTTTCAATATTTTCTTCTTTATAGTTCCTTTTACGACATGTCCATGCAAATACGTTAAATATGGAGACTTTGATTCCATGATTTTGTCTGTAAAGATTAATTTGGATCGGTTTTCAAACACTTGAAGCATCGCGAAAAAAAAAATTTCAATTCAAAATTGATAATTGAGGATAGATAGTATTTACATAGGAGAGTGTTATGCTAAATTACAAGTGCTAATTATCATTTTCACTTGCACAAATTGTATCCTGAATTAATTAAATTCTAGCCAACTTAAGAAACGCAAACATAAATGGGAGTACTTTTGATTTCACTAATTAATCCATTCTCACAAATTTATATTCTGATTCAAATGTTGTGTTGCCGATCAATAATTCAAGTTAAAATATTAAAGTTCGTCTCTCGAGTGCTAGTTTATAGCCTATTCCTAAGTATAGAACTTTTGTTCTAAACTAATAATTTGATGCATAAATGAGTAGGAGAACTGCAAGATATCTCAAATTAATAACCAATTCATGAAAAGCAATCTCTCGATCTAACATGCAAATATATGTAATGATAATAAATCAATCAACCAAATTTAAATAAATTATAAGAAAAAATCAACAATAATGAATTACACAAGTAGAAGTCAATTAGGTAGACCATTAATCCTAACAAATAATTTAAATAGGAACCATTTAATAGAAAACCACAAATATTAATTAGAAGACATTGCATGACAATTAAAGAAAACAAAAATAAATATATTGTTGTCCGCAACATGTGCGGTTTCTTCAAAAAAGGGCCACGAAGAAATTGAGGTGCCCATAAGGCTGTGTGGCCGCAGAGCCATGCAATGTGCACAATTTGCACCTTATGTTTTTGAACTTTCAAATTTGATTTTGCTCCCTAACTCGAATTTTCTCATTTTCTTCTCTTCAATCATGAATGCCCGACTTTGTTTAGTCATCAACAATTTAGCTCCTTTTTGGCCCATTTTTCACTCGAATATCTCCAAACACAAAAGTTTACCTAATAATACAAATACAAAATAATTCAATAGAAATGTAGCTTTCAAACTTGACAATTATGTATCAAGGTCAAAAATAAATGTAGAATATAAATTCGGAATAACTGCTGAGCAACTTAGAGGTACTGCACTGGCAGCATCTGTATGATGGTTTTTTTTTTACCAATGCCCAATGAAAATGTATAATTCTCCGGCAGTTTTTCCCTATATACATAGCACGGTTGATATATTTTTATCTGATTTTCCAAAGAACAATCCAACCAACAAGCCAAGTACGAACCAATCTATCTCCGAAGATAGATCATGCAGTGGATAAACAGGCCAGAAGAAGCATTCGTTGTCGAGCCTAAGGACTCGAAAGCAATAGTTCATATTTGCTCTTTTCAAATTTTCCTTTTTAAAAGATTACAAAATGCAAAATAATTACAAAAAATTAGCACAGTAAAATACCTCAATTAACTTTACACCTCTATCGAGAGGGTTGCCACTGGCTTCCATATCAGTCTTTTACACACACATGGGCACATGGATATTTTCTAGCAAAGAAGCAAGCATGTTTGGAAGGTAATTTTTTTTTTTTTTTTTTATAATCTCTCTTAGTTAAATATATTTTTATTCACATATTTTGTAAGATTCGTAACTATTGTTACAATCCGTAGATTCCACAACTTATAATCGCTTAATTTTAATTTAATCACTTACGAAGCATGCAAAAGCCTACAATTCAATTCATGAACCTTTAGGCATTGGAAAAAGAATAAAGATAGACCTTTACGTTATACTGAATAAATAAAGAAACAAATTAAATAGCCAGAGACTTTCTATTTATAAAGAATGTCTTATATGTAGTAGAAATGATTTTTAAATTTAGACACTAAATTTTTTTATAAACTCCAACTATAATCTCTATTTCTGCTCTTCATTTTTCCTTTTTTATGAACATTTATTGATTATTCCTTATTTTCTATTTAACATATTTTTTTGTAATATTAATGATCAATTACTTTAAATGTGAGTTGGAATAGAGTGATTATATTCCCAGCACATGTTTTTTTTATAACTATACTACATTTTAATTTAATTGAATGTTATTAACCTTTATTCATTATTAAACTTATATCCTTAAATTTTTTCTACGTCATATTCTTATTTTTAATATTTTATTAATTAGAGAATATTGTTCTTGATCATGATTTTTTTTTTGGTAAATATTGTTAACGTGCTTTAAAATTAAGGTAAAAAATTTAATCGCATTTTTGCATTATTATTTTTTTATTATGTAAAAATACAATGTACAAATAAATCTTTTTACTATATCTTAAAGAAAATTTTGGAGAGAAACACTAATCGGGAATAATTTATGTTAATTTGAGAATAAGAATGTGATGAAGAAAGTTTGAAACATAAATGAGATAATGTGTAAAGGTTATGAACTTTACATAAAATTAAAATGTAGTTTAGTTATTAAAAAAAAATGTGGTGTGAATATGTCCAGTGGAGATGCTCAATTGCCATTTATAAATATTCATGTACATGTGCTATTCTATTCTAATGCCTGTGGCCATACAATATTTCTCCCTTTTGTCCACACTATAACAGTTTCTCACAAAGGAAAAAAAAATGTCCAACGTCCTCTGGAAAAGTTTCAATCTCTGTTTTGCCAAATTCAAGTGCCTCCCCACCATCACTTTTTCGTCGCAGCCGCCACTGAAGGAAGAAGAAAAAGAAGTTGAGCAAAATCCTAAAAACCCTTCAGCCTTAATCAAGAATTTCAATTCTCTCTTTGATCATCATTTGAATGATTCTGATACTGATACTGATTCCATTCCTGACTTTGCTCCTGTCCTCGCCTCCCAACGCTTCTTCTTCTCCTGCCCCGGCCGCTCCAACGCAATCATTGAGCCACCAGAATCCCCCCCACGGCAGGCGGTAGTCGATGGCGGAGTTGCGATTCAGACCTACTCTCTAAACCCGTATGCAGAATTCAGAAAATCAATGCAGGAAATGATAGAAGAGCGTGAGTTTACAGATGTTGAGGCCGATTTCGAGTTCTTGCATGAGCTTCTTTTATGTTATTTAACGTTAAACCCTAAACACAACCACAAGTTCATTATTGGTGCATTTTCTGACGTCATTGTATCGCTTATGTCGTCGTCACCATCTGTCGATGACTTTTGCTGGAAAACTCAAGGCTAGAAGCATTGGACCACCACTTCTCGGCGGTTGGTTTGAATTTTTTTTCCCCTTTTTATTTAAGAATACATTTGAAAATGGGGTTATCTTGTTTGTTTATTTTTTCAGAAGATTTTATATTTGGTAGATGTAAATATAAGTTATTGAAATTATTAAACGATGGACGTGTCATTTAATGATAAGTTATTAGTCGAGATTTGAATGAAGTTGAAGAAGCCACCTGCTCCTGAAAATATCCACATAGCGTGTCTCCACTCAATAGGATCATAGCACTTTTTGGCATCCTGTAGTTAAAGTGGGAGTACGTACGGACAACTCCAAAACAGTGCTCCATAAGAAAATTCATTATATGAGTCATGCTACACTTTTGGTTTGCCTATTATTCCTAGGATTTTTGAGAGAAGCATGTAGTCTAAACTTACAGAGGCTTGAAATTTTGCAACTTGTGAGCAAGAATGTTCCAAGGGACTTTGAAAGAAGAACAATGATGAGCAAAATTAGAAGATTAGTATATGAATTCCCTCGCTTTCTTTCCAAAGCCCCGCATGAGCACAAGCCAAGCTACTCATGCCAAGCAGCTAACTTTGAGACAACTAAGGGCGAACTTCGAACTAGAACTAATGGATTACTACACAATTTTTTTACAGATAGAGTTATCAATTTTTCACTGGTAATTAGCAAAAAAAAAGGAAAAAAAAGTTGCCAATCAACAGCACCTGCAAAAATTCTTGTGAAAACAAACCATGTACTCATAGCTTTTTTATTAACATATTTGATCAAACATTTTCCAACAAAATACTATTCTAAAATGTATTTTGACCCAAAAATGGGACTCAAACGGATATCTTATGCTACCCAGAATATTGTCATAATAAAAGCATATTTTTTTCTCGTGCAGGGAACATGATTTTTCAATTAAATATTAATTATATTTTAACACTATTAAGCCCGGTTTGACAATCATTAAAAATAAAATTTTTTTTTCCTTAAAACTCATTTCCAACCACACATTATCATAATAAAATATTATGTACGTAAATCCAAAACTTTTTTATATTTTTTAACCACACATTCTCCAAAAAATCACCATTCCAAAACTCATTTTCCAAAAAAAAAAAATCATTTTTAATGGTTGTCAAATAGGGGCTAAGTTTAGTTCCATCCTTAAATCTTGTAGTGATATGATTCAATTCACTTTTTAATTCATATTTAGTTTTTTAGATTTTTTTTTTTTTAAAAAAAACACCATTGTTTAGTCCTCAATATTTAACATATATAGGATTAGCATGACTGATTGCAAAATTGCATGCATGTCGAACAAAAACATATAAATTAAACGTTACAAATTTTGTTACAAGATGATTCGCATTGGTCTAAAGAATGCTCGAACGATGTATATGTATATGTATATGCTACCTTTGATCTACAAAATACCTATGCTAATTGGTGGATGTGTCATGCATGTTAATTAGTCTGTGTTGATTAGGGACAATTGGGGAACAATTTAGAAGAATCCAATAAAGAGATCCAACTACCATCCCATCAAAATGATGACAATTTAATAATGTAATTACCTAGTTGATTAAGTTAAGTAATTACCTAATTCCTAAAACAATAAAAATTATTTAATTCTGATCAGTAACCTTTTTCTCAGGTTTAGGTAGGATTTGCATATAAAGAAAAAGTTTTACAATTTTCACCAACTATTTCGGGGGAGAGTGAGCTTGCATTTAGACAAACTGCGTTTCACTAAATTGTTTTATTTTCACTTAATCCCTATATGCTTAACTAGTTGATTAACACCCATTATTATAAGAACAATGATTGCTCCTTCTAATAAGGTTAACTTTTTAAGATAATATCAAAGTACAAAAGGTTTAGACAAACAATTGGTTTCGTTTATAGTTCAAGAAAATAGTGAAATATCAAGATTGAATTTCGCAAATGAGGCACTATCTCGAGGGTCATAATCAATATATAAGTCTTATGCTATTTCTCTTAACAATATTATCATATTTAGGTGGAACCAAGAATTAGGAGATGGCACGGGTTGGTTTTGGCCTCAACCCATGACCGTCCTTGAGATTTTGAGGTCCTATATGACTCATCACTTATGAATCCAGCTCTCGGTGAGTATCGGCGATTGTCCGTATAGACTCCGTAAAAAAAAATTCCTTTATAATGGACAGCCGCCCGTGCTCACCTCTCATACTGGATCATAACTGTGACTCATTATTATGATGCCTTTAAACATAAATTTTTTTCAAACGAAAATATAATTAAATATTTAAATAAATAATAGTTTATATTTTAAACGAAAATTTGGTACAATCCAAAAGATGCAACAAAAAAATTGTATCTAAAAATTCAGAGAGACTAGGATAACATAATATTTAGTAAAATTATCCCCTTTATGAAAAAATATTATCATATTGTAAGTAATAATCTCCATGAATTATTAATTGAGAAACCCGAGTAAGGTACAACTTAGAAAACTATAGAAAGTTTAAGGAATTTATGAAAAAGTCTTTAAGAACTATAATTTGAAGTCTTGGGAATGTTGCAATGATGACTCATAAGGAGAAGAGTGATTTTCAGTTCTTAAACTTGAGATGAGGCTTTAGATATAGAAAGTTCAAAATTTAGGAATTAGACTGCAAAATAGAGAGAAATATATATATATATAGACAATAATATGAACAGTTAAGATTATTTAGTAATGAAAAACATAACTAGATTCTAAGGATTTTGAATCGAGAACTTTTTAATAATTTTGAGATCTTAAGGGATTAAAGTGAAAATAAGTTTCGAAGTCAATAATGTATTTGAACCAAATGAGTATTTATTGGACGATCGAGAACTATCCTACAAATATTGAACTCATTTCGAAACCCGTAATAAATGGTATATTATGGACTCGAAAAAAAGTTAATTTGGATAAATCAATTTGTAGTTATAACTCATTAAAGTAAAATACTTAAAATGTAATATTAGTTTCTAAATTAAACCATATTACCATAACAATATTGGGTTAATTTAATAGCTTATAATTAATCATGTATATTAAATTCAGAAAAAAAGTTATTTTGAATAAGCTCAAACTAAGTTAGAATTGATAAAAAAAAATTATTGTTAAATGAATTTTTAAGTAATTCATGTTAGTTATTTTAGTTGGCCTTCTACCATGTAGTTTCTTGGGAAAATTAGGTCCAGTATGCCTTAGGCACCATAAAATTGATTAATGCACTTAGTCTTTTAATATTTCTTTCTCACGTATTAATTACGGTACAAACTTTTAGGTATAAAAAGAAAAATATTTAAGCCTTCATTTCAAAACTTTTCTCTTCCAAGATCACCTCTAACTGTCCCAATTCCTCATCTCTCGTTGCCTTCGCCTCCCTCAAATTCCCTGCGGCACTAATACTTCAAATCCTTGAAATCGTACATCACTCCCAAAAAATATGATTATTTATTTAATTGTCAAAATTGTGTGAATTATTTTTGTAACTATGGTGCAAAAAAATAGAAAAAAGCAGAGACGGAATTCAAGTTGTGCTGGAGACCATCACACTTTGTGTTAAACGTGGCGTTACAGGTAATTTCTTTTGCGCCGCCATGGTAAAAGAAGATTTCTTCTTTGGGAGTTGGGAAGGGGGGAGTTCATGGGAGTCAACTTGTATATGTTTATTTGCTTGTATTTTGTGGACCATTTGTACTTTGATGGGTTTATCTATATGCAGCCAACTGGTAGTTTACGTTAGTTTCTCCCTAAAATATTGCAGGGTTTACTTCACTTTGTTGATCTTAACAAGTTCAAGAGTAATGAAGACTTTGTTCAGAATTAATGAGAAGAAGGTACAATACTTCATCAATAAAAAGTTAAATCAAATGCCAAACATTTAAGATCCTACAAATTAGACAAAACTTGACTCATCAATTGTATATCTATTCTAAGAAGAAGCAAGAGAAGAATTATAACAGAGACAATTAATGGGTGTCAAAGGAAAGGGATTCGTGATATATCGATGAGGTAGGTCCAATTATTTGACTACAATGAGGCTCGAGAAGAAAATTTGGTAGATAAAGGCTTAATATTTAACTCTCAGGCGGGGCTACATATGCTCAAGAGATTCCAAATTACGATTCGGCCACGGCAAGCTCCAAGATTTAAACCAGTTCAATGGAGGCCTCCTTTCTGTGGCTAGGAAAAAGTTATTGCAAATGGAGCGACATGTGGAAGCCCGGGGTTAGAAAGGAAATGGAGGTGTATTCCAAATGGAGGTCTAATTTGTAGGATTTAGGGATGTCAATGGGCCGAGCCGAGTCGGCTCGGCCCATACCCACACGAGCTCGGCTCGTGCTCGAGCTCGCCCAAGGCGAGCCGCTCGGCGAGCGGCTCGTGGGCTCGTGCCCACGAGCCTGCTCGTGGCT